GAGCGGTCGGACCCAACCGCCGCCGTCCGCGCCCAGTCGCTGGCCGCGTTGGCCCCGCAGCAAGCCCGCCTCACCTGCGTGTCGGCCGCCATCCTGCCGGCGCTGACCCCGGAACTATTTCCGGAGTATTTCCGGGTCACCGCCGGGGGGGCGGGGCGGCCCACGCGTCAGGGCGAGGCCAAACTCGCTGCCCGAGCCCCAGCCTGGGCCCGGCGCCCCCGGGCGGGAAGGTGACCCGCCGCAGTCGCGGCCTTAGAACCGTGCGGCCGAGCCTAGGCCCTTCTCAGCTTGGCCGCAAGGGCGTGGAGGTCCAGGGGACTGCCACGTGGGAGACCACCCTGGCCGCAGGCCCAGCCTGGACACTGTCGCGAGAGCTTCTTAAGCCTTCTTAGCGACTGCTCTGTGGGGCTGGGAAGGTGGCTCCGTGGTAGAGCGCTTGCCTTGCATGCCTGAGGCCCCGGGTTCGATTCCTCAGCACCACACAAGAGAGAAAGCTGGAAGTGAGGGACAGGCCCAGAGTTCAAACCTTCAAACCCTGCGACCCAACAAAACAACAACAGCTTAGTGTTGCTTTAGGGCCGAGGTAAAGGAAGAAGTGGTCTGAAGACAGACAAGGTGGAAGAGCCCTGGGAGGCTCAGGCCTGCAGGTTCAGTTACAGATCCAGGTGGGAGGCCGAGACCAGAGCCAGGAAAGAACCTCCAGATCCTGAATTTTATACTTAATTGTCTGAATTTTACTCTGTCGACTGCCACTTTTTATATATGCCAGTACTAGGGTTTGAACTTGGGACCTCACATTTCTTTGCCTCAGCCTTTTCTGCTCAAGGCTGGCTTTGGAATCACACAGCTCCACTTTCTGGCTCTTTGGTTGGAGATCAAAGTCTCAGGGGGCTGGGAATGTCTCTTACTGATAGTGCTTACCTATGCATGAAGCCCTGAATGTGATTCCTCGGTACCACATAAACAGAAAAAAAACGGAAGTGGTACTGTGGCTCAATGTGGTATAGTGCTAGCCTTAAGAAAAACCTCAAGGACAGTGCTCAGACTGAATTCAAGCCCCAGGACTGACTGGCAGGAAAAAAAAGTCTCAGGGACTAGCATCAAATTTGATCATTCTGTTTCAGCCTCTTGAGTGCTAGGATTATAGATGTGTCACAACATACCTGGCTACTTTAGTACTGGTAGAGTTACATCGAATGTAACTACAGTTGAATTTGGATGCAAAATCCTTTTAATTTATGGAGTGCTGATTGTACTGTTTTTTTTTTTCTCCATACCTAACAAAGGTTATATAGGCACAGTTAGATTAACAGAAAACATGCTGTAATAAATTGAGGCAGTTAAGTACAAGGGCTGTTTGAAAACAAGCACAAAGGTGTCACAGCTGGTGACAAACTGGCTGGCTTTGAACCTGGATCTTAGATATCAGCCTCCTGAATAGGTAAAATCAGATACTGATGCCCAGTTTAGACAGGTTTAGAGAATGAGACCTCTAGTTGGCTATCAACTTTGACAAAACCCTATTTACAATAAATATATCAGTGCATACCTATTTATAAGATTTTAAACAAAATACCTAGCCTCTCAGCCAATCAGGTATTATTTACTCTTTAAACACTGATTATCACCTAACTACTCACCATCCAACTTGAAAAAAACCAGTTTTTTTTTTTTTGGGGGGGGAGGTCAGTCGTGGGGTTTGAACTCCGGGCCTAAGCACTGTCCCTGAATTCTTCAGCTCAAGGCGACCCTCTACCACTTGAACCACAGCGCCACTCCTGGTTTTCTGGTGGCTAATTGGAGATGAGTCTTACAGACTTTCTTGCCCACGCTGGCTTTGAAATACAATCCTCAAACCTTATCCTCCTGAGTAGCTAGGATTGGTGTGAGCCACCAGAGCCCAGCTCAAAAAACCCAGCTCTAAGAATTCATCTGACTCAATACATTTGTTGAATGCATGTATGAACTGACATTAATCTACTCAAAGGATTTTAATGAAGAGGCTGGCTGGCCATACAGCTATACTCTAGTGTAATGGGAACAGCAGTAGCCAGATTGGGATATAATTCATCCCTTTGTCCATAATATAAATACACCACCTGTTTAACCACTCATCACATTAACTGTTGATATCTTGGCACTTTATGCTCCAACTAAGTGTTCTGCATGCTAATTCTAGGTACAAGTTATATTCCATGTAACTCCATACCAGTACCAAACATGTAGCCAGATGCGTCACATCTGTAGTCCTAGCACTCAGGTTGAAGCCATCAAATTTGAGGCCAGTCTAGAAAGGTGACTTAAGTGATAGATTGCTTGCTTAGCATACATGAAGCTCTGGGTTTGATTAATCAGTACCACATAAACAAAAAATCAGAGGTAGCACTGTGGCTCAAATAGTAAAGTGCTAGTCTTGAACAAACACAGTGCCCAGGCCCGGAGTTCAAGTCCCAAGGCTGGCAAAAAAAAAAAATTGGCACAATCCTGTTCTGGCCATCCAAACGGTGATTTTAACACAACATATTCCCTTGGATAGTAAGTGTGCTATTGTAGACTTAGGTTGTTCAAACAGCAGCTTCACTTAGCTGATAGAAGTCAACCTTTCACCTTGCACCATTAACCACAAAATACTTTTAAGAGAAAGTAGTAAGCCTTTATTTTGTTTTGCAAATAAATCTGAGTTGACTGCTTCTGGGAAATTAGTCAAAAAGACCAAATCCCATATCCTCATCTGATTCCTCCGACTCTTCCTTGGCTTCAGCCTTGGCTGGGGCTGCGGCAGCAGCAGGAGCAGCAGTGGTGGTGGCAGCCACAGGAGCAGCAGCCACAAAGGCAGATGGATCAGCCAAGAAGGCCTTGACCTGAAGGAGAGAAGTCAGTGGTGAATGGAGTCATCATCCTTCTATACCTACAACCCTCCCTCCCACTACTCATCATGACCAAGTCCAGGAGGCCTTTACTGCATGCTAAGATCTGTGTAAGGCCCACCTCTGTATCCCCTCAAGTCTGGTTATTTCTGAAGTACACACCCACTCTGCCCAAATCTCTAAAATATGCTCTTAAAAAAGTACCTGCTCGTGTGAATTATGAATGACACTTAACCCCACAAGCTTTTATCCTGCTTTCAGGCTCACTGAGGTCCTGATGAGATTTTTTACCTTTTCAGCAAGTGGGAAAGTGTAGTCAGTCTCCACAGACAAAGCCAGGACCCGCTTGTACCCATTGATGATAGAATGAGGCACGGAGGCCACAGTTGGGTAACCGATCTGCAGACAGACACTGGCTACGTTGCGCACACCCTGCAGAAGGAGACATTTTATTTGTTGGATGGTACCCCTTTGTACAACTTCTTAAAGACAAAATATAACTTAAAAAGACCGCATTTTAGGTGAGATACCTGGAGAAAAGTTCAAGAAAAATTCAATGTGTATTGTTATAAGCAGCTGAGTCTTGAAGGATAGTTATCCTAAATGCTCCCAATTCAGACTTCTCAATTTAGAAAATTACCCTTATTCCAAACCTAAGGTGTCCCATATACCACTTGCTTCAAACCCACTATAATTCTATGACAATGTAAAGTACTAAGACAACTCCTCAATCTTTTATCCCTGAAGTTTTATATATATATATATATTTTTGTGTGTGTGTGTGTGTGTGTCATGGGGCTTGAACTCTGGGCCTGGGCGCTGTCCCTCAGCTCTTCAGCTCAAGGCGAGCGCTCTGCCACTTGAGCCACAGCGCCACTTCCAGTTTTCTGGTGGTTTATTGGAGATAGGAGTCTCACGGTCTTTCCTGCCCAGGCTGGCTTTGAACCACAATCCTCAGATCTCAGCCTCCTGAGTAGCTAGAATTACAGGAGTAAGCAACCAGCACCCAGCTTGAAGTTATATTTTCTTTAAGATGGCTGAAGTTACAATTTCAGTACAAAGTTTGCATAAAATTTGTTTCTGCTTTCAAATCCTAATTTGCTTAAATGTGCAGGTTGTGGAAGTCAGATATGGAGGAGCAACTTCATATATAACTTAATTTTGTCTGTTCAAGATAGAGACAGGAAGATCACAAGTTGAAGGCCAGCTCAGGCTCGAGTTCAACCCACAATGCCACCAAAAGAAAAAAAGAAACCACAATCTTCTATTGTAACATTTCAATGGTAAAATTAGGTAAGACAGAAATCTCAGGAAAAAAAAGGATAATTCATCCCTCCAAAAAAAGGTACTTAGCATTGTAAATTATGTATGATGATAAACTCCCCATAGTCTCCTTCAACTATGTCACTACTACTATCTTCTGTCTCACTGTAGGATCCTGAATGTACAGTGCCCAAAACTTTTCTAAGGCTTTACACTCATTAAACCCTTCAACCTTATAATTGTCATTCCTGCATGAGGATATGAAGGAAGTAGACTGAACTTTGCCTGGTCACACAGCTAGTTCACGCAGCACGCACCTCCAGGAAGCGAGAATGCAGAGCATCCTCAGTGATGTCAAGCACTTCAGGGTTGTAGATGCTGCCATTGTCAAACACCTGCTGGATGATCAGCCCAAAGGAGAAGGGAGAGATGTTCAGCATGTTCAGCAGTGTGGCTTCACTGGCTCCCACTTTGTCTCCGGTCTTTATCAGCTGCACATCACTCTGAGGAACAAGGTTAACAGTGAGCAGTTAGTTAGTATCTGAACACCTAGCAGGCCTACAGAAAATACACATGCACACACACTGTGTGCCTTGCTACTCACCAGAATTTCAATAGTGCCCCTGGAGATCTTGGTGGTGATGCCCAGAGCCTGGAAGAAGGAAGTCTTCTCGGGCCCCAGACCAGTGTTTTGAGCTGGCACAGTGACTTCACATGGGGCAATGGCACCAGCACGGGCAGCAGCAGGTACCTGAAAGAAGACAAGAAGAAATCTACCCACTGACACAAGCTGAGACTGGCCAATTTTGTTTTAAAGGCTAAGATAAGATCTCTCTCCAAACTGACTCTCCCCTTACTTTATTGGCCAGCAGCATGTCCCTGATCTCAGTAAGGTCCTCCTTGGTGAACACAAAGCCCACATTCCCGCGGATATGAGGCAGCAGTCTGCAAAAAGAAGTTTATTAGGACACCACCT